CACCCCACAGCGAGATGGTACGTGCGTGCGATATACGACATTCCTGGGGCTCAAGTCTCATATTCTCACAAAACCCTCAATCAGTGTAACGGAATTGTCTTGACCTGACGAGGTATTCCGAGGAGAAACTGTTAGAAGAACTAAAGAATTTTAATGTAGTGGCAGTAAAACGTTTTAAGAAGAAAGTTGATATTTTGGAACAGTCGACACCAGCTCTTCTTCTAACTTTTGAATTATTAGTCCTACCTGAATCGGTTAAATTGGCATGGTACCACCTCAAGGTCAAGCCATATGTACCAAACCATATGCGTTGCTTCCACTGCCAGGGTTATGGGCACGGAGCCAACACTTGCCATTTTAAGGAAAATGTTCAACCAAGAGTTTGTGTGAAATGTGGTACAACAGGTCATCAAGGAGATGACAACTGTCCAGGTCCAATATCCTGTTACCACTACAAAGATCATGAAGCTTCTTCTAAGCAATGTAAAAGGTACAAGTTTGAAAAAGGAGTATTGGTAATAAGGAGCAAGGAGAAAGTTAGTTTTGCAAAGTGACGTGCCTGTGTACTGTTTGCACAGCTGGGTAAGTCCTTTGCCTGAGTTCTAGCCCAACCTCCTTCCCACCATCTGAAGTAAAGGCTCAGATACGCCCTTTGCACAGGCAGAGGAATACCGAGCCTATCCAAAGAAAGCCTGTGGAAACTAGTTCCACAGGTAAACAGCCCATCAAATTGTACTTCCAAGATGCTGGAAAGGGACAACCTAAAGGTGTGGTGCGGACCTTAACCCAAAGGTGCTGCCAAACACCTAATGAAGTAGTTTCTCAACTTGAAGTTTCAACTGGATACCCTAATCCAGTGGAACTGTCAGGGTATTTTATGCAAAATGGGAAGAACTGCAACATCTGATAGCTTCATGTAACCCAGTTTGTGTATGCCTACAAGAGATTATGACCAGGGAAAATCGTCTAATTTCCCTGAGAGGATTCCAAGTTCAAGTCCATTATGGGACCTTTGATAATGGACCTCATGGAGGAGTAGCAGTGATTTTACGTCGGGATATTCCCTTTCAGCTTCCAGGCCATCCACCTAGAGACGACACTGCAGGTGAAGGCTGTGAGAATAGGCTTGACACGACCATACACTGTTGCATCCATTTACTTCCCTCCAAATAATCTCAACATAGATGATTTGGAGGATTTACTTGGGCAGTTGCCTCATCCATTTCTACTCTTGGGAGACTTCAATGGTCGGCATCACCTCTGGAGAGATAATTTGTGTATCCTTCGAGAAAGGGTGGAGTCCTTGTTCGCAAGAGTAGATGTAGTTTTACTGAACAGTGACGCACCCACGCATTTCCAAATTCAAACTGGGACATTCTCCAATTGGAAGACTAACATGGAAGTGACCACTTTCCAATACTTTTGGAGGAGGTGAATGGTATTCCAGCCAATGAAGTGCAGAGATGACGACTTGAACATGCAGACTGAATCTTTATAGATCAACTGCAGTATTGCAAGGATTTGTGAATGATTTCCAGTGTGTTCAAGATGCTGTCAATCACTTCACATCACGAATTCACCTTGCAGCAGAAGCATCAATTCCCAGAAGTAGTGGGCAGTTCAGTCGACCTCCGGTACCATGGTGGTCTGATGGAAAGAGTACATCCATATCACCACCTACTCTGAAAATAGATGGCATAATCCTCACAGCTAAACGAGCTGGCAAAATCCATGACAGAGATTTCCGCTGGAGCATCTTACACTGCCCTATTCTCCACTCTTCTGCTGCTGTAGAACTGCAGCAGAACTACCATACAACTTGCCATTCTTGCACAAAGAGATGGATTGCTTTGCAGCTCTGATGTAAGACTGCCCAAAAAGTGACAATATTCCATACCAAATGATATCTCACTTACCGGAGAGATCCCAAACATTCCTGATGGATCTATTCAATAGGATCTATTGGGAGAGCACAGTGCCAACCACATGGAAAGAAGCTATAATAATTCCTGTCGTTAACCCATTGCCGCCGGGGATGACATGTACGTACATGCCATGCCCACTGTGAGTCGACTTGTTTGATTGTTTTTACACATAGATGGCTACACTTGTACTAAGTATCCAATGAGCCAATTATGAATACTGCCTGTCTCGCCCATTCATCCCTTTCATCGATTTACGAAAATATTTAACGTTATCCTAATTTCCTGTTAAAAATTAAAAAACACCATTTACATTTATAGCACTAGTAAGAATACGTTTTTTTCCCGCCAATTCAAGGAAAGGTGAAATCAAGACTAGCAGAGCCATTTGCAGAGATATTTCACAAAAATATAAAAAATGATCTTAATTTAAATCTCACAAAAGTTCCTCCTTGGACCGATCAAGTCGAGCTGGATTTGGATTTGGTCGAAATAGGGAAGGGGGAGAGATCCGAAGCAGAAATCAGAGAGATTTCTTCAATACACTTCCAAGGACCAGATGCAAAATTTACTGATGATTCAAAATCTGAAAATGGTGTGGGCTTTGCAGCAGTGATCTGGCAGTCTTTCTCGATCAGCCTCGATTTTCACTGCAGAGTTACATGCCGTCCTTGCAGCAGTCAAGATGAATAGAGATTTTACAAACCATTCTGTTGTAATATATTGTGACTCTCGTAGTGCATTGTAAGCAATCAAGAGTTTAAACTCATCACATCCAATGGTGAGGGAGGTTCAAGATTGGCTTGCACTGACGTCAGCACGTAAAAAGATAACTCTGTGTCGGGTGCCAGCACATCAGTGGGAATGAGTGAGCTGATCGGAAGGCCAAGGCAGCCGCCACCCAGCTCTGTGATGCTCGTTTTCCTCTCCCACACACTGACTTGAAACCCAGCATCAGGAGTTGTCATCGTGATAAATGGAGGGAACAGTGGAGGTATACCTCTAGAAACAAATCGCGAGAGATTAGAGACGACCTTGGCAGTTGGGTGACCAGCATCCATTCCAACTGATAAGTAGAAGTTATTAACAAGGCTGAGAATCGGGCACACAAAACTGACTCATGGGCCGATGATGGCTAAAAGTGAAGCACGCTGTGAGGAATGCCAAGAGCCATTAACGGTCGCACATTGAGGTTCGTTCAAAAGCTCCAGTTATTAATGAAAAATCAATAACAGTTCATTAACAGGTTTTCTGGACATGACGAGAAGCAGGGAAAAGGCGTTGTGGGTGGGCGTGGCGTTTCTGCTGCTGGGGAACTGTACGTGGGCGAGTGAATTGACGTATGCCATTGGCGATAATGGAATGTGTTTTGGTTTGTTGAAGACTCTGCCGACGCGTACGAACACTTACTGTGCCATGGCTTGTAGTGCAAGTAAGTATATTAATAGTATTTTTTATGTCATTATGAGTAAATATGTTCGTGTCATTACATGACTGATAAACGAATGAATATGACATATGGGAGGTATCTATATTCACAAAATCCATGGCTTGTTTTGTAAATATAGTACATTACTAGTGTGTTTCTGTATTTCCGCGAATAAACAAAGCACGACAGAATATGAGGTGTATCAGTATTTTCAAGTTTTATTGTATTTAAATGTTGAACGTATATATCATATTAACCCATTCTAATAAGTGCTATTCGGTTTGCAATATTGATGCTGCCTTTGCAGATGGCGCATGCAACGCGTTCTACTACCAATATGAAAAATGCTCGTTGTACCTACATGTGGTTGAGCCAGGGGCAACCACCGTGAATTGCTATGTTCCAAGTCAGTATAATGTCACTTGCTTAAAAAAATACTTTGAACTAATAAATTCAATGAAAATTGTTCTGTTGTTACTGTTATTATTAGCAACATTTGTGTCATATTTTATCAACATTTTTTTTTATGTATCCCATAGTTTGTTTCTCTGCTTTTCTCAAATAAAACCAGTATTATGGGACACCTTGAAATGTGGCTTTGTAATACTTAGAACAAATCAGACCTTATACAGTGTCTATGTCCTGTAAGACGTTCAAAAATCCATACTGTGTTGCTTCTTTTCCCTTCAGTGGATGCCCTTTCAGCCAGCCCTAATGACCTGACGACCTCCCCGCCCCCCACCACTCAGCCATCAACCAGCTCATCCACGACGACAACCTCGGTAAGAGGTCTTTGGTTTGTGATGTTTGCACACTTTACCATTCTGTCACTTCTCCTTCGTATATCTCGCTGTGGAATGAGACAACAGTTCCTCATTTGTACAGCAGACCCCCTGAGATCTCAATAAGCTGCCCAAGACCTTTTGAGACTTTTAAGTAACCACGTTTATTCAGTGTATGTAAATGCAGTTGATTAAGATCCTCAATGATAAAACTCTTATAACAGAATTCGTTTAGTATGATACTTCATGTGCATTTTTTGTGTTTACATTCAGACAGGTCGTTTTTTGTATATTGTATATTCATTATCATTATTTGTTGTAACTGAAAACAGGGAATTTAAAAGCTGGATTAAAATACTTCTTACTTTCTTCATTTCAGAGTGGTTCACCAATCCTAGACTGGAGTGGAGTGAATGAATTAGGCGTCAATTTCCTAAGTAGATGCTCCATCAACGGAGGAATCATTGGAATATTCGTAGAAAGCGACAAATATAACTTCCTGTGCCGAAGCTCGCTCAATGAAATCCCACTGTCCGTGGCAGATCCTGCTCCGCTCTGCGCCGGCACTGAGATAGAATGCCTGACCACCACGTGCGATGCGGACAAGATCTTCATCGGCTACGACCAGAACGGGCCAAAGGGACCCTGCTACACCATCAGCAGTCAGCAGGCCACTGTTGACAAGGCAGACTGCTACACCGAAACCTCCCCCGGCCCTCTGCCAGACGGGGAGGGCAGCTCGTGGACGCAGTGGAGGGTCTGCCGCACGGATGCCTTCTTCGTGGTGGTGGCGGCCGATGTGACCGGCGGCATGATCGCAAGCGTTACTTGCTGCAGAGCCAAAGTTGTGTAATTAGGCCTATGCCAATGGTGGTTTCTGCAATGCCCGGGGTCCACGTATTCAAGGCACACGGTTACTGGACAGGCAAAGCGCTTAGACAAAATGTAGTTTAGCAATACATTGGTTAGGATATTTCATGCACTCTGTCCCCGAAATTCTAAGGTCAACGGCGGAGGATGGCAGACTGTGGCCTTTAATAAAGCAATGAATGACACGGAGAAAGCTATAAGAAAAATATGAAATGCTACGCATCCTTTAAGCCTCAAAATCCCGATGCTTGGTACTTTCTCATTACTTCCTAGATATAAATATACATACATACACACCTCACATACACGCACACGCACACGCACACATACTCATACATACACACACACACACACACACACACACACACACACACACACACACACACACACACACACACACACACACACACACACGTGTATATATATATGTATATATATAGATAGATAGGTATATATACGTACAAACACACACACATATGTAGCCTATATATACATACATACATACATATATATATATATATATATATATATATATATATATATATATATATATATATATAAATATATATATATATATAAATATATATATATATATAAATATATATATATATATATATATATATATATATATATATATATGAACAAATATATATACAAATGAAGAGGTAGACTAATACGGTCGTGAAGAGGTATTGAAATCGATTAAATTCAAACAACAATAAGATCAATAATTACAACAAAATGTGAGCAAAAAATAATACCGATATATTAGACATACGAGTATATACAATGAAAAAAAACAGGAATTAAGGATATGAAAGAACTAACCAACACGGGTGACAGTCAGGGGAAGGATTCTTTATTATCTACCTCTCGTTCCCAACCCGGATTACTGTATGGTCTCCCCAAAGTACACAAACCTAATGTTCCACTTAGACCCACCGTTTCATCTTTTGGCACCTTCAACTATAACACTGCTAAATGTCTGGTTCCCATCTTGTCTCCTTTGACTACCAATCAATATACCATTGAAAATTCCACAGCCTTTGCTAATGAAATCACATCCCTTGACCTCAAACAACCCGTCAATATGGCCAGTTTTGACGTGGAATCGCTGTTCACCAACGTCCCCCTTCCAGAAACCACTGATATTGTAAATAACAACATAAAAACCACCCATCTTGGCAACTTTGGTTTAACAAAAGAAAGCTTCAAAAAATTATTTACTATTGCAGCCCACCACTCTGTATTTTCATATGACAATTATCAGTACCTCCAAACAGACGGGGAAGCAATGGGCTCGCCACTTGGCCCTTCATATGCCAAAACTTTTCTCTGTCACCACGAACTAAACTGGCTCAAAGGATGCCCAATTGAATTAAGACCTATTTATTACCGTCGGTACATTGATGACACATTCGTACTGTTTAAAGATCCCTCGCATGTAAATTTAATCTTAAATTATCTTTACTCTAAACACCCAAGCATTATTTTTACCTGTGAAATGCAACAGAATAACCAACTACCCTTTTTAGACACCTGTGCTACTAATGATAACGGTCGTTTCCATACCAGCATTTACCGTAAACTAACCTTTGCCGGTCTCAGCCGTCACTTTCACAGCAATATCCCATACTTTAATCAACAGCATAAAAACACTCATCACTTGAGCCTATAATCTATGTAGCAATTGGTCAACTTTTCATGATGCAATGAATACAAAAAACGTCTTTGTAAGTAATAGGTACCCATTGCATCTATTTGATAAACTAACAAAGACTTTTCTTTGTAAAAAAAATTCTCAGATCAACCTGTTGTATCAATTGTTAAAAGGGATTAGAGATATGTAAAACTGCCATTTATGGGGAAATTGAGCTTTGAAATCAGATAACAATTAAAAACGCTCTTACAAAACAACTACCCGCAAATAAAATTCAATTTTGTTATCAGTAATTCTAACACTATTGCAAATTTCTTAAGACAGCCTACGAGATACCACTTTGATTTGTGTTCTAATATGGTATATCTATTCAAAGTATATCAAAGTCAAAGTCAAAGTTGGTCCCATGTTCACGTGAACATAGGGGACATGTTTGCAGAGAAACATGCTTACTAAGCCGCGGGATGATGCGGTAGGGTGGCCAGTTCCTTTCCGCCCCGACCTTGACCCCAACATGCTGACGTCAGCATATCAGTACTCATTCACAGCTGAGTCAACTGAGAGGGGCGGCGGCCGGGCGCGAACCCAGGACCTTGCGATTGCAAAGCCAGCGCTCTACCACTGAGCTATGCCACCCTCTCAAAGTATATATAAGACTTATATATACTTTGTATCTATTTACCTGTCCTGCCTGCCAAGTCTGGTACGTGGGTTCCACCTCACGATGGTTGTCACCGCATAATGGAACACAAAGGCAAGTCATTTCGTACGGGACTACCGCTGGGCAGACCATCTTTCTCGGCCATAAGAGAGCACTCTCACCAACACTCACATCCT